GTTTAACATTTAATTATTCCACACAGTTGGCTAAAGTGCCGTCAAATCCTTTTATGTATTTATTTTTGATTGACAGCTCTGAAGTCAACCTTAAAATGTTAAAGTAAACATAAATAAACCATTTAATGAGAAACAAACAAATGTGCAATAAGAGCTTTAGTTATGTTTATGCAAGAGTTTAAGGCCAATTTATGATTTGTAGAAATTCTATTTAGTTGGTTTTAAATAAATAACACTAATAAATACGTAGTGTGACAGAATGTTATGAGCCGCCCATGCACGTCTATAAATCTCCAAGGCAAGAAACAAGAGATACGCAATGAGACTGGACTGCAAGTGCGCATTAAACAAGCCAAATGAAGAGCCAGCTCTCATTAATTAGATACTAAAGTGAATTTAAAGTGTGGTCATACATTTTTCCCACTTGCTCTCCGCATTTCTTAGCTGCAGCTCATCCACGCAGTGCAGTGGGTCAGTAAATGAGGCGCTTAAGCGAATGATGCATAGCTGTTGGCTGCAACACTCGGCGTATAATTAATTTTAAATGCGAATGAGCATGTGACTGCCCTGACACACACAAACACATAGACATACTCACATTGTCGCACATTCAGTTGATTGTTGTCCTGTCTCATGTGTCCAGCTTCAGTAATAGTTCATCCTGTGCGCTGACAGTTTTGTGCGTTTTCCATTCTTATTTACAACATTTAACATGGTCATATTTATTGTTAAATTACTATGACGACTTTGCAATTAATTTAACAAACATTATTTGCAGTAGCACACTATGCGTATTCATTTTAAGCTGAGTAATTAACTGTTTCTGTTTAATTAGCATCTGTTCGTCAATGCATTCCGTTCACCAGTTGCATAACCTTTGTCAATAATTTGATATCCTTTTGCTTTGCAATTTAGAATTAAAATAATTGTTTAAATTGTGTATTTAGATATTTCTGCTGACAATTGAATAGTCATAGAGTTTAGTTTAGTATTTCACTTATTCCATTCAATTTACAAAGTGGGTTCAACTATTTTAAGCTGAGCCTAACTTCAGACAATTATAATCAACAAAATTGTAAAAATGCCATCTAAACTTCTACTGTTTTCTTTGGAGCTAGCCAACAAAATCGCAGTTATACTCAAGTACTTCGTATACTTTGTATACAAATAAAAGTTGGTGGGGAAAATGTTTTATGTTCGCTCCACACGCAATGGAAATTGCAAGTCAGTCAAAACAACGTACAGGGAGAAACACAAAATTGTTGCCCACTGATGGCAAACTTGACAAGATGCCAAAAACAGCGGAAAAATGTTGTGGCCACAATCTAAAGGCGCCTATGCGGGGCGTAGCTGTGGGCGTGGCAACTGTTGCCGAGGGTGGATTGTGAGGTGTTGCTTAGATAAACTGACATGATTTAAATGGCAGAAAAACTTTTGGATCCCTGGCAAGCCACCTGGCAACAAATATAAAATAAAAAAAAAGGAAGAAAAACTCAGCCGCAAACACACACACAAATACACATATGTGAGGTTGTGTGACATTTTCTAACATGGCAACTGTCATCTTGCGTTTGTCATGTGTTTTTGCATTGTGGCATTACCGTGCCGTCTGAGTTCCTGTTCCACTCTTATCAGGTTGTCGGTTGTTGATTGAATAAACAGGCACAAACTGTAAGTGTGTAAGTGTGTGAGCATTGCTCTTTGTTCCCTTTTTCATTTCTGTGCGTATGTGTGTGCTTGTGTGTGTGTGTGTGTGTGTGTGTGTGTGTGCGTACATATGCGTCTGTACAGTGAAAACTTTTTGGACATGGCATCAGAGTCTGGACCAGTCGGACTGAATTTTCCATATTTCGTGCGTGCCACATGGTGAGAAGTAGAAAAATAATATTTACTTGCTAGCCAAAATTGTCAGAAAGCCTTTGCCATTGCCTTTGCCGAAGTCATGCGGGCTGCAAGCCAAACCGAAATGAAAAATGGCCAAAATGGTTGAAAATCTCAATGGAGTCAGTTAATAAATCATTGAGTATGGCCATTACGGGCAGTAATGTGTCAGCAAAGTCATCAGAAAGAGTTGTTATTTGTTTAATTGAATTTTTTACACAATAAACTCAATATTTGTATTTGTATTGCACTTCTTTACATTTTAATTAATTTAATACTCATATCAGCATACATTTTCACAGAGCTTTTTCTCTCTCTCTCTCTCTCTATCTCTCTCTCTCTCTGCAGAATCAAGTTACTTATTTGAATTGAAGGTCAACATTTTTAGTGATTTATAGTTCTGAGATTTTTCTTCAATTTGCAGGTGTGCTTTTATAACATTTATGCAAACGTTGTACATTTTTTGGCTATCCTTGTTGACATGAAATCCTCCCACTTTCAGTCCATTCTGATAGCAGTTTCTAGTCCAGTCACCATCCAGAGCTGCCATTTCATTATCCTGCCTACCTTTTTTGACAGTTCTGTTGGGCCGGGGGACTAATGATGACAAATGTTGAAAAAGCAAAAATAGCAGACGGCCATTTTGCTGGCAGCCTGGGTCGAGTTCAAAGGTCAGACGGTCAAAATATTCGCATATGTATGTTGCGACATTGTCCAGCTGCTCCGCTGGACCGCTTCTCCTCTGTTCTACGGCTCTACACATTGTGTCTGCATGCAAATGACTTTATTTGAATTTTAAATGTGTAAATTGCGCTCGTGTTGCTTGATTTCGCCGGTTCGTTTTCTCAGTTTACGACCTGGCCGTTTGTCACTGATAACGGCGCAAGTGTAGGACATTGGCCAGACACGGCCGACCAAATGAAAATTGCAATGCCACGGCAATGGAACAATGGCTCGCAATGACAACAATGTTGCCAACAATGGCAGCCCTCCACCTGGCCTGGCAAGGAGATATAATCATTTCCGTTGCCGGCCCACGTACGTCTTTTATCTCTTTCAAATTTTCGTTATTGTTATGCGCTTTAAAAGGTTTTCTTGATAATGGAGCTGCAAAATATGAGAAGAAAAAAACAAACTGTTGACTCACCTGGTAATTTCCTGCCGCCTGCCTTCGGCCGACTGCCTTTCGTTCTTCCGTCAATGCCCTACAATGCGTATACTTAACGCGTATACGTAACGCGTGTTATTTGCAATGGCTTCAAGTTGAATGTACCTCACTAACACCCACACACCCCCCTCCAATGGTACACATCGCCCCTCCATCTGCTCTTGACAGCTTTTTAATTAATTTCAAATGAGTTAAGCACCTTACCAACACAAATTTTAACTAGTCCCGAGCTGTTTCGGGTTATGGATTCCTCTTGGGCAAATTCATAAACACGCTGCCACACATAAAACTTGGTAGCACGCAACAAACCAAAAACTAAGCGCACAAGTTGCGACGAAAGCATTAATTTTGGTTGAATTATCCTTCTTTATTCAAAATATTATAATATAAATCATATAATTCCGGGTTAGTTATCATAAAAAGATGCGATCTATTGGTTAAAAAAGAAAAATAGAGAGAAAACTTTATATCTGCTTGGATGAACCTAAAGTAATTGCCCAAGCTTTCAAGCTCTCTCGTTATGTTTGTGTGTACAGTAAGCACTAGCATATTGAAGATGTTCTCAAAGTTTTGACAATTTTAATATTTAGCTCAGTGAAAGTTGGATGTCTTTTACTGCAGACGGCAAAACTTTCGCCAACTATTAGCCAAATCGCTTCAGCAAAGCGCCAATAAGCCGAATAACTTGTAGCTGCTGCCCCGCTGCTTCCGCCCACTTGGAGAGCTCGTTGAAGAATTACGACACGTCGGAGAATTTATGATCCATCGAATGGGCTGCCTGGGGCCGGGCCGGGCCGGAAATTCACAAGACCAAAGAGCAAATGCGGAAGCCTAAAACCGCTCAGGCGCTGAAATCGTGTGCGTGTAAACATATTGGCTGCCTTCGTGAATATTTACGACTCTGCCGTTCGCCTGTATGTCATTGATGTACGGCTGGCATATGCAAAAGGTAAGCATGAAGGCCAAATGGCGGAAGCGGAGCACACGGCGTACCCAGCGCTAAATGTCCTGCGGTAGGCATGAAAAATTGCAAATTAACTGAAATTAATGGCGGAGCATGTGTAAATTTATTAAAATTGATACGATGAGCCAGCCGCGCGCCAGCTTTCCAACTTTATTTACGGGGATTTATGCGCTGACCTAATCAAATAACCAACCTGACAACGCGTGTGCGTTTTTTGGGCCAGCACACAAAAACACAACTAACCAGCGTATCAATCAAAAGTCGAATCGATACGACTTAGCTGAACTCAAGACGCAGCCACAATTCGACTGCTGATTGAGTGACCTGCTGCCCAATCTTAACCCCGTACGTCCGCCTCGTATATTATGCAGCTTATGTTATCAATATGGGCATTAGGTTCGACTGCTCTCCCCCCGCTCGTTCGCATTGATCGGGCGCTGAAGTTTTCGTTTCAACGCTGCCATTGCCGAATTTTACTTATTTATGGCTTCAATTTGCTTGTAAGTAATTAAGCCGAGTTTGTCTGGATTAGTGGCGAGCACTGAAATTGCCAAATGCCTGTCAAAATGGCTGGATGACAGCTTAGTATTAGAACTGGGGTAGTTTTGAAGCTCCTAAAGTATAATTCGGGTTTCGTTTAACTAAGGCAAAGAACAATTTAATGCCAGTTATCATACTGCAACAACGGTTAATAGTTTTGGCCGAAATATTTTGAAAATTAGCCCATAAATGCAAGACTGTAAACCCTTCTTTTACGTTTTTTGTCATTTTTCCGTGTGTTACCTGCAGTTTGTGGCAGCTGCATTTATATTCAAATCATTATTATTATACTTATTTATTTGTGTTGTCGGCTTTTTCCTTACTTAATAATATTCAGATTATAAGTTGTATTAACAAAACCCTGTACAACTAATTTATAACTAGATTCAAAGAAACTGCCGACCGAAGACAGCACTTAATGGAAGGAAGTGGGAGAAAGAGGGTCAACTACTTTGAACGTTCTCTCTGCTTGTCTGGCTGCTGTTTAACAGCCCACGGAGAGACTGTGTTAACTGTTGTGGAATTGAAATATGGGACCGATGTCGTCTTGCGAAGCGAAATAACGCCGGAATGCGTTGAACTAGGGGGCTCCAATACGGAATCAGTTGCTGCCTTTTTGCGTGCAATAGTTTCCTGCTCTTTGGCCAATCGATAGTCATCCCAATCGGTAGCAATGCGTCCGAGTATTTCCTCTCCTTGCACCAGAAACGGCTGTTTCGTGCGCTCCACAAAGGTCTGCACCAGCTCGTTCAGTTGTTGCTCGATCTGTGGCAGTTTGATGCTGATAATTTTACGTTCTCGCTCCTCCCGGAGCAAAGCGCCGCCACGATTGTGATAGCGATTGGGTTCTTTGGCCTTATCCTCAAGCGCCGCCATGCGCGTCCAAAGTTTGACGCGTTTGGCGTAGAGCTCAAAGATTGATCTGTTACTATTGTAATACTCCTTAATATCTGCCAGCTGATCCTCTAATAACACCAAGAGTTCCTCGTTGCAGCAATCCTTTTGATAGTTTCCTACTGTTGGATATTGCAATGTCAGATCACACCATTGATTAATTTCCGTGCGCACCTGATCGATGAGAACTGAGAGATTTTGGGCACGCAGAGCTTCACATTGTTGCAGCGCCTGACTGAGCTGCTCGAAGTTTTGCTGTGAATTGTCTTGCGTTTCACACAAATTTTGCATGGCTAATACGTCAATACCAACTTTTGACAAACTTTCCGATAGAACGCGGATCTTAAAGCGCATCTTGTCCAAGCTATTGTTCCACTCCTGTAGCCGCCTTTTGGCACTTGCCTTGTCACGTTGCCGCTGCAGCTCCTCCGTTAGGTGGATCATTAAATGGTTCAGCTTTAATTTCTGTTGCGACCGCAGCCTCTTAATCGGCTCTGGTGGAGTGTCAACCACTTTGGTCAGCTGCACGGCCAACCATTTGGACTTGTCCAGTAGCACCCGAATATCCATTTCAAACCTGTGCTGCATTTGCTCCCACATCTCGCAAAGCATATCAACATTTATCTTGCTCTTATCTGCATCCCCCATAATTCAGTGTTATCGTACGACAAATTGTGTTTTAACTTTTGTGAAAGGTTAACTATTGAAAGCAAATTCAATGCTATGCTCGTTTCATAGTCAAACAACAAACTTATGGGAAAATTTAAATTTTCTTGTACTAATTCAGATATGTGTGTACCTAGGGACATTTTATATTTGGATGTTTATGCATGAGTCTGTTTATGGAACTTTAATGTATGTGTATTAATTTAAAAATATACATATATATATTCATACATGTTTAAATTTACATGTGTTTTTGTTTGATTTTCTTAATCACAATTCAAAGTACCTCCCTTGGCGCGCAAAACGAACACAAACTAAGACTACAGGCTTATCTATATACTTGCTAAATCGTTTAGAATAGATGACTGTGTACAAAGATGAGACAACTCCGAACAGAACACACTGTAATGCATGTTGTAATCATCACAGAGAACCAAATGAACAAAATTGACATTGGTGTTGAGGCATGGTCAGGAGAATGTCGTACAACAAATATGAATAGCTTCTTCCAATTGTTAAACGTCTTAGACCATCACTTGATGAAACCGAAAACAATGCTGGCCAAATTAAACACGGCTATACCTACCCTTAACCCCTAACTACCCATTGATCGGATCTGTTTATCTTCCAGATAACAAAATAATATACAAAACATAGGCTCGGTATTATATATTTTCCTTTATCTGCCTGTCAAATGCATTTTCACAGCTGCAATGTACTTTTTTGAAAATAATATTTTCTCTACATTTTAAATGTAAAACAAAAGTTTTAGGTGCCAAAAAAGCTCGCAGCGTTGAAAAATGGCAAAAATCAAGTGGACAAATGCCGCAAAACAAAACTCAGGTAATAATGTTCAGATAATGAAAAAAAAAACGAGTTTTATTTTCAATTTGGCCACGAGCTAAAACAATTACCAACAGAAAAAAAAGGAACAATCAAAAGTTAAGAGCATATAAAATGCACACACACACAAGCATCAAGCCCTACACATTATTTAATTCAATTGAAGCGAATGCTGCATTTGGCAGCCAAGTGGATTATGCATTCACTGGATCAGGAGCTGCCGTGCTGTGAGACCGATAGTGACGACTATGATGGACGTTCGTATTAAGTTTCGCAGACCAAGAGCCTGTGGCAGTGATTTAAATGTGCACCGTAAAAAAAAAAAAATTAAAAAAGAGGAATCAGCCACAGAACAAATTCAATCGATTCCAAACCACGACCGTAATTAACGTGAAACAAAGTTGCGCTGAATCCTTTTATCAGCGGCGAACGCTATTCCAAACGGGCAAGACAAGAGAGTCTAGTTAAAATGCTTGTGTGGTCAAAAGTGCGCACTCCAATTAATTATACCTTATTATTCATACATTTTTAAAATGAGGAGAAGACAGATGCCGGTGAAAAATACGTATTGCTGAATCCAACAAAAAGGTAAAATATTGCAAAACATTTGAATGCCTTTAAATCGAACAACGTGGATCCAGGCTTCAATCACATAGTACCTTGGGGTTAAAGAGCTGTCTTTGCACAAGTCTCTTGTAAAGAATTTGTATTTAATTAGTTAGCTTGACAGTTTATAGCCTAATCGTTTACTGATAACAATAATAACAAGTAATTATGCTCATGTCGACAGTGTCCGACTAGGCAAACCCGTGAACGTTCTTGTACTACTTAACATCAAGTGCAACATTAAACAAAATATTACAAAAAAAAAGAAGTTAGTTTGCTTCTAACGAAGTTGAACTAGCAATTTCTACTAACCGAACTGTTACTTGATTCCGCCTAATACCTCACAAGCATGCCAAGAAGAAATAACTGAAATGGCAGCACATGCACACAAGTGCAAGTGCAATTCTATTTGTGTGTATATACATATGTGTGTGAGTATTTGTGCGAGTGTGTACAAAAATTCTTCCCCTTTGCCCTTAAAGCCAACATAACCGCATGTTTTCTTTAATAACTTCTTGGTTTCTTACCCGTTCTTGATTTTATTTTTGTCATTTTAAGCAGCTGATCTTAGTGTGCTATAGAATATTCGTATAGTCGAAAAGACAACAACATTACAATTGTAGTTGTCTCATTTAAATCATTTATATTTATGGGATTTACAGTTCATAACATTCATACATACGGACATACAGACGGGCACAGCTAGATTGGCTCGACTCAATAGTCGACTTCAATAAGCTGGCGAAGAAATTTGGTGGCTTCAGGAAACAATAATAGTGAAATTAAAAAAATTATGATAGTTACAAAATTATTAATAAAAATAATAACACCATATTCGAAATACCTGCCGAAAACTGGAAAAAATAAGAAGAACCCATTTCCCTAAATCATTTCCAGCGACCTATTCTTAGTCTCACTCTATAACCTAGATAAAAGAATACTACTTAACCAGTCAAAATTAAAGTTAATTATTTAAAATAGAGCTAGCGCTCTTTTGTTATAATGAACTATACTATCTTAATAATAATAAATAAAGCAACATAACACACATGAATGTCAAACCTTATGTAATAGTCACGTTACCCCCCACAAATGTATGAATCGTTAGTGAGCGCAACACAGCTTTGACTGTCATGTAGGAAACCCATTAAATATTGCACCCTGATAAAGGCCACTCTGTTAAAAAAAAAAAAAAGCAGAGAAATAAGCGAACTTCAATTGTTACATTGTGCATTTCTCTTTTGCCAGCTTTTGTGGTTTCAAATTAAGTGTTTAGCGTTTTTTATCATCGAGTCGCACACATTGTTCAGCTGAGTCCTTGTCGATTGTCGATTGTCGATTGTTGTGCAGCTGTCTGCCTTCTCCTCGGTTGGCGCTAATGAACTTCCGCTGTCAAATGAAATGCTTACCATGCAAATCGCGGCATATCGAATAATTGAACCCCCGCCGCAGCATTGTTATTATCATTTTCATTTTGTGCTTCCGCTGGCAGTGCGAGGTTTTTCTTTATATATTTTTTTTTCTGTTCGTGCTGCTGTTTCTGTACAAATTTCGCTGTGGGTTCGCACATGTTTCACATCCGTTAACACCATTTTCTTGCCTTGCCCGGCCAAGTAGGCAACAGTCAGTTATTTTCACTTTTTGCACGCTCAGAGCAAATTGCGCACATTTAAATGCAAAAACCGTCGACAGTTGCGTTTATAGGCGGCTAGGTGTTCATGATTGCTATGCCAAGCACTTGCCACGCCCCCCTTTTGGTTATTTACAACTGCGCGTGAGTTTTCATTTGCTGTCTTCTGCGTATGTTGGAGTTTTTCCGTATATTTTTCGTTTTTTCCTGGATTTATATGCCCAAGATTTATGTCGCATGCAGGCAGAGCAGCTCGCACACACCTGCGTATGACTGTGTGTGTGTGTAGTCTGTGTGTTATGAATATGCATGTGTTCATTATGGTGGATTATTGTTATATCAGCGGAAATGGTGCACAGCTTTGACTGCGCAATGAATACCATTTGATTATTCTCAAATTATTAACCTCTGTGTATAGTTGCCTTCACTTTCAAGAGCCTCTTGCCGGTGGACAGGTAGACCAGGGCAAAGAAGGGACGAGAAGTGACTTTTATTTACGGTCCTTAAGCTTATGAATAGACAGACTAAGATCTTCTTTGATGTCATAACAGATACAAAATACAATTAAATTCCTTTATTATTTACCATTAAAATGGGCTTTAAATAAATATGATAAAACATATACTAGATATGAGCTTAATGAAAGCCTGTAAAAATGCCTGCTGAAAACTTAACTAATAAATTGCCCGCATTATCGGAACGTTGTGACAAATGTGCAAATTTAAATTATTGTAAACTCTAGGGGCTGGACTATTTTTTGTTGCGAATACATTCACGTGGTCGTAAATTTAAGCAAATTGTAAATTTACGGTAAACTGCATTCACATTTTTGCAGTCATTGATGCGGGGCAATGGTCGTGCGCCGGGTTCATTTGGCAGCTTAGTGCCATTTTTGCATTTCCGTTCGTGTCCGCTCGTGGACCATCGATTTAATCTGTTCCTGGCCAGCAACAACAATGCCAGCACAGCAACAATTATGCCGTGCGTACAAATTCTCTGAAAATTTCTCATTCATAGTCCCGCGGCCAATGCAGCCACAAGAGCCCATTGCAACTATGTGCGCTCTGCTCCAACTTGGCATAATGAAAGCGCCGCACGGATGACATCCATGGGCGAGGGCTATAGCAATAGCGAATCCCACTTCCACATTCCGATTGCAATTGCCAACGACTAGGGCGACCGCATCGATGAGGACAATGACGACAACAATACGGCGATTGGCGCTGTGATTAACTGCATCGCAGCTACACATTTCGGGTTTTAGCTTTTAATTCTAAACAGCGGCTCGCTAATTTGTAACAGTTCTTGTTGAGGTAGGTCAACAGATGAATAGCTCTGTGCCGAGGAAATTACCTTAACGGATTGCTGGCCATGAATATTGAGTGAAATTTAAGTTGTGTGAGAACTTTTGAGCTCTTGATCTGCAAAGTTAAAGTTTCACCTTATGTAAAACGCCCTGACATTAAATGTGCTCATTTTCTAATTGCCTGAACAACATGCAACGAAATCAAATTAGAATTAGCATGAAATCAAATGAACTGCCTAAACAAGCCCTTGCTACGATTGACAGACAAAGTTCGAACAGCTGCAGAGGAGCTGACAGCAAGTGTAAGCAAATATTCTGGCACATCATGTGTGCAGCAGGCGCTCACACACATTTAATCAACGAGGGAAGGCCCAACGAAGGTAAACAGACTTCTCTGTACAAGTTAATGCCCTGTACAGCTAACTCGCACACACAGTAAGTGAGGACTCAGTGTACTACTTATTATGGAAGCATTCGGCTGTAAAAGTTCTGCAGGTGTTTGTGAGCAAAGCAATCAGAAATTAATATGCCAGCAGGCGCACTTAAAAGACCATCCCTATACGTATACCTCATGAATATCTCAACGGCGCACTGTCT